CAGAGAAAACAGTCTTAATCCTCCATCCAAACTGTTGCTTTTTAATCTCACAATAACTGACCTTTGCGCTGGCTTTATTTCACAACCAGTAGCAATTGCTCTCACTCGGACAGGAATAAGCCAAAGCACCTTTGAAGAATGTCGACTGCTGGAATACGTCGCATTTCTGTTAAGTACAATTTTCTCCGGTGTATCTTTGTCGACGATAACTGCCATTTCTGTGGATCGACTCATGGCTCTCTTGTTAGGAATACGATATAGACAAGTTGTCACCATAAAGCGAGTTCGTATTGTCGTCTTTTTACTGTGGGTCCAAAGTCCTTTGGTGGGAGCCGTTTCGTTCTGGAGCATAGGGGCATACGGAATTGCGAGCGGTGTAACGATCATGTTGAAGATAACAATCTCGACTTACTCTTACACAAGAATCTTTCACTATTTTCGATGTCGGCGAATGGCCGTGCAAGATCATGGGTGCCCAGGAGCAGGTGCCAAGCTGATGATGGCGCGGTACAAAAAGACAGTCATCAATTCGCTGTGGGTTCACTTAACTTTAATGTCATGCTATCTTCCTTTTACATTAGTCACAGTCATAGCGCTTATTCGTGGATTAAACTTAACACTATTTGTGGCACACGTCTTCGCGGTTGTTTTAGTCAACCTTAATTCCTTGCTAAATCCCATTCTTTACTGTTGGAAGATCAAAGAAATTCAAAGAGCCGTTAAGGAAACGTTAAGACAGTTTTGCACTTGTTTTGTCGCTTGAAAGGACTACGGATAAAAAAGAAAAGAAAAACGCTTCACAGAAATCCCATGCTAAGGGCACAATATTTTCCGTCAAAACGAAAGCTATTCCCGCATCATTAATTTGATATAGTGTGTCGTGAAAGTCAAGTGATTCGTGAACATTGCAAAACTTCATTTTAACCATTATTTCAGAACCCTAAGTGTAGTCTAAAACTAAAGAAAATCTAGTACAATGTAAAAATTTGAAACGGAAAGTTTCATGTATAAAAAAGTTTAAGAGTGATAGATCAAACTTTAATCGGCCTATATAGTAATTATTATATTGACACTACAAGTTGTACTACCCTTAACCAATGTTTATGTCAATGTCATTTATCTTGAAATTTACCCAAAAGTCTCTTACTATGCAGGAAGTGCTCAGTGTATTATTTATACGCGTCAATTAGATTTTGGAGAAGAGGTCAAAGATTGAAAAAATTAATGTCGAGGTACTGCATTGCACATAGGTATATGTCGAAAAACTGCTTGATACAGCGTATTGTAAGGAGTTTGGTTTAAAATTGAATAACACATAAAAGAAAAATTATCACTCAAATCGGTCGCGCTATAGGGCATCTTGTCTTGCAGCAGTAGCCTATTAGATAGTTTCTAGAAGCTTTGAAATTGCAGCTCTAGCACTGAATCAGCTAGGACTTTACATCTGCAGCTACAATTGCTGTACAATTGCTGCTCACGTGGCCAATTTTTCTTTTTCGCGTAGAGGGGAAGAAGGGAAGACTATTTGCCATCGTTAGAACAATCTTCTCACTCTGTTTCTGAGGGTGAAACACAGGCAGGACTAGTTCCCCCATGAAAAACTTTGCATTTTATGACAGCATTTATTTACGTTTTCCCAAATATTGTTTTTGTTCTGTTATAAATAATATATTACACTCCAAGCTTGTGTCTAAAAATGTGCAACCCGCCAAAGTTATAATTCATTCGATTGATAAATAACAATGATTTCAATAAATCATACTCTTTCCATGGATTTCATCACGTCTTACATAAATTTCATTTTGACGTCTTGTATTAAAAACACTTCCCAGAGCATATTTCACCTTCCCTCACAATATTTTCAGCTGTAATTGTCCGGTTAACTATATTTATAAGGAGCTCTTTCTAGCTTCCAATCCAATTTCATTCTCAGTTCTTGGGAATGGATAACGCAATTTTTCTCTGAAAAGTCAGGAAACGAAATAATTTTTTGCAAAATTATTTCGTTTCCTGACTTTTCAGGGAAAAATTGTTTATTGATGTCACATTTTCAGTTTATGCTCAGTTTTTCATAATTCCCTTATACTTTTGAATATTAACTCTGATGCGTTTATAATATATCTTTACATTTTACAAGAAAATAGAGACGGTCGTGGGTTAGGGAAAAAAAAGGATGAACTGAAGTATTTAAGGTGAAAATCAATGGTGCATCGGTCAATGAGACAAAATTTCACAGCCACCACGTATCGTGTGAATTAGAGGATAAACCCTGAATTTATTTTCTTTTTTACGTTCTTATTACAACTGCAATCTGCAACATAAATGTTTATGGCAAGTTAGTTGAGCACTGAAGAGCGAATGTATATTAGAGTAAATGCGTGAATTACGACAATAACGCAACTCGCATTGACGACTTGAGTTCACGAAAATTGGGTTAATAAGGTTGCTTTTATTATTTAACCTACAAGGTCTTTTAATTGTACCAACGAGGCTTTGTTGTGTAAATTATCAAATAAAAAAAATGTAAAAAACAATTATTGAGGAAAATTACGGCGGAAGAACACCCAAATATTTCAGTTTTGACG